GATTTTAATCTGTTRTCATCCTGAGCTCTCTCATTTGAAGTTGAAATATTTGAGATAGTGTTATTAATAACATTCCCAGCAGAGTGATTTCTTTTTCTTTTTTTCTTTCTTTTTTTTGTGCCTTGGCTGATGAATGAAACATTTTTCATTTAATATTTGTCTGATGAAAGAAAGACAGATWTACTGATGATGAAGAGCTCTTTCAGCCCACTCTTAGAATGGTTTTATTTGCTTGTGTGTTTTGGATCATTTTAAGCATATACTGTATTTGTTTAAATAAATGTGCTTTTAACAGCTCTTAAAAATAAAATAAAATGCTTTTGGAAGGTGTAATAAATGTGGACAATCTCGAAATGTGTTTTACATCCCAGCAATAATTTTGTTTTACCGTGAAACTTTACAGTAAGTCTGGAAATGGTTATCTTGATGTTGTCTTTAGCTGGTATTTAAAAAAAAAAGGTTTTTGGCAGATTTTTGTTAAAAAGCMTTTCATTATGAAAAAGTTCAGGTTGATGTTGGTTTTGTTTTACGAACAAGAGAAATTCTCTGTTTTCTTTCCAAAAATGTGATATAATTCAAAATGTTTTGACCTTTAGGTCCAGTGTAAAAATAACAWATGTCAAGATGGAGTTTAAATACCTTTACATGTTTAGATATACTATAGCTCAATCAGACCCCTCTGGTTAATATTACTTATAATATTTACAGTATATGTGTGACACCCTAAAAGATGGAGAAGCATGTAATTACCTCTGCCAAGGGAGGAGGTAATGTTTTTGGTAGCGGATGTCTGTCCTTCTGTCTGTCTGTGGACAAAATTACTCAAAAACTTGTGGACGGATTTTCATGAAATTTTTACCACAGGTTCTTACCAAAGAAACACACCATTAAATTTTTGTCATGTTCTGGATCGCGATGCGGATCCAGGACTTTTTTTTAATTCAAGTGAATCAGCCAGGCTACGCAAAGTGTCATTACGTCATACACATGTCTGTAGGAAACGGGAAGTACAAGTCGCAAACTTGCTGGGATCCCAGGATGTCTACTATCGGGAAAGTTGTGATTATTCTGTTATCAACTAGTGGTGGTGTTACATCGTCTGCACTCGTCCGCAGAGACCCCACTTGCTGTATTTTGCTTCAACCTCGCTTCAAAAAAAAAAGCGTCTCGCTTCCAGAGCCGACTGTACCAGAAGGCAGCAGTTTATAAAGATAGTCAAACCGTTAAAAACTCATGAAAGGCGACACAACAGATGTTTTACATGGTGGAATCTGACTGATGAAAATGAAAATTCGGGACCAGTTTGTGGATAAATAACGTCAGGTGAAGAGTCTCTGTCTTTTTGTTCACATTGGACACARAAATCCTGTGCATACTRCCTGCTTAAATGTTCGYTAYKTCAGAACTTATTCGGCAAATGTGTTTCCATCGCYCSTTTTGTGCATTAACTGTATTGCAGGATGGGRGAAATTGGCCTTGGYGGAGGTTTGCACTTTCCGAGTGCTTCTAGTTTCCTGTGATTTTGTGAGAAATTATCTSATCAATTATTGGACCATTTGRTATAAAACTCTCAACAAGTACYAACTGGAWGTACAGGGTGAGTCAAATGTCTCAGGATGCCATTTTATTTCAGAAACAAAAGGGCAAATAAAATATCTGAGTACCCAGCAMGTAATGGGTGAGAAGACCTGTCTTTGTGTCTGGAACATGGCCGCCATCTTGAAAGCCAACAATTTTGGATCAAAGTCAAATGTTTCTAATGGGAAGAGAGTTATTTAACACATCAGAGAATACCAGAATTATCTTAAATATGCTACAGTCCGATTTGCAACATCACTTGTGGTTCAGAAGTTATCAATACAGAAAGTTCAAAACTTTTTTTTGGCCAAGCATTTGAAGATGGAATTGACAAAAACTCTATGTTCAGTACCACAGACAGCACAGTGAACACATCAAATAGCTGTACATCACAGGCATTGTTCCTAGTTGTTGCTACTTTCTGTGCTAACCTTTGAACCACAGGAAATAATGCACATCTGATTGCACCAATCCATTTCTGAAACAAATTAGATCTTCAGTATGCTACATGTCCTCCTTGGCATTGGGCAAACTTGCCCTTGATCTAATATGGCGGATTTCAAGATGGAGGCTGTGTTCCAGACATAGCCCAAATTTCACCATAAAAAGATAAGTCCCCTCACCCATTACTTGCTGGGTTAGTCACATATTTATTTTTTGCTTTTGTGTCTGAAATAAAAGGATGTGCCTTTTTGCTCACACTGTACATCTACACCTAACAAATATTTGAAGTCAATCAGATTCAAGATGAACGCCACAGCTAAGGGAGCATAGCAAATACAAAACTAGCTATAACTTGGTTGTTTATACAAATTTAAGCAAAGATTTGATGTGAAAGCAGCTAAGAGTCATCCTCATCACATACTGTGAGATACATACCCATACCTGACTGATCATGTAAGAGTCTTGTTTAAAMCTTTGGCATGCAAGAGTGGGCATTAATGCACTTCTTCAAAGAATACTAGTTTCCTTACAGAGTCATGTTCTGAAAAATTCATCCTAGCACAAACGGGGGAAAATAACAATTGACACTTGGGTTGTCACTACAATTTTAAATCAAGCTTTAAATACAGCTGAGTCTTTAATTTAATCATTTAATTTAACTAGTTTAATCTCAAATGTGAGTGGTAATTATTCATTCTTAACACACAATTTGCTGAAAATCCTGCAAATCCCTTATTGATACCAAATTATCTTAATGATTCTCATACAAACAAAAAAAACCTTAAACCTCAAATAATTTGTATAGATTCTCTCCTTTTTTGCCCGAGAAGAGAAACTGCACYTTAAGGGCCCTGCAAACTTGATCTGAAGCTCAACTGTCATCTTCCTGTCACATGGTGGCGGGATGTTTGTCTCTGAACACACCTCTCATAGTCTGTGAGACACACGGTGCTGAGCTCCTGGAAAASCCCTCCCATTGTTGTACATGTCACAGCACGGGGTTCTTCCTGCTGGAGTCTCCACTCCGATATCCACCATTTGGCCACAAATCTGTCACGGACAGAGCGCTACGCTTTTAAGCAGACAGATTCGTCTGCTATCTCCATCCAAGAGTTTTTGGCCATTTGCCTATCTAAGTCTCTGGACGAGTCATAGATGGACATTCTTTCTGACTGTCTCAGGGAACTGCTCCTCATAATTATTCATGTTGTTTGAACACAAAATATTCCACTTGTAGAAGTGGAGTAATTGAAGCGAAATACCAGCATTGTTGTCTGAATGCTTTTTCGCACGAACAAACGCAAACTCTCTCCTGACCAATCACACAAAACTCATTGGCTTATAAGAAGAAGTTTGGCCTTGCACCAAGAAGGGGTGGGCAAAGGTGCTCTGCAAATATAGTGACTAACTTTTTGTCACACACAACTACTGTATGTCAATAAGAGATTTTGTTATGGCTTTAGGTGGAGTATGCATGTCATTTTATTCAATTTAGGATGTTTCTAGCTAAGATTACTCTGGATTTATTCTTGTAATAAGCTTTAATGACTTAATTTTTAACTGACTTCACTCTGTCTGGCAGCATCCTCCAGGTCACGGATGAGGTCAAATATTTGGGACATTACATCACCGCTGACCTGTCTGATGATAGAGACATTTACAGGCAGCGTTGTACTCAATATGTACAAGCTAATATTCTCCTTCGGAAGTTCTCCATGTGTTCAACATCTGTCAAAATTGCACTTTTTAAAGCATACTGTACTCCAATGTATACAGCCCACCTGTGGCGGCGTTACAGGAAAAGCAGTATGAATAAACTTCAGGT